CATTGTGGATCATCTAACGAAGCTCCTCGTTACTCACACCGCTCGTCCCAGGTCTGTGGCGTGTTCCAATCATAATGCCTCTCTGAAATACAACACAAAAATATCAGAGACTCCATCGAGCATACTCACACTCGATAACGCAACCTTACTCGACCTCCGATACCCAAAGGATTCTTACTTGGGTTACCCACTGATCCGATGTCTTCAGTAGTACGGACCCTATACTACTGACTACACCACATCAACATTCACCCCAAGTTCTCCTCCTTGGACCCCGGATCACGAGTACTCTATTCTTGCTATGCATTGGCTACCTACTCGCTCTCAAGACATCTCATAGCAGCAGGATTCCCTAGACTAAGGTATCACAAATCAGGCCACTCTAGTCCTAATATGAATACCTAGTCTACTTTAGCATGCATAACGTATCATAACATATCTCATTGCACATATTGTAAGGGTATTTTGGGGATTTTACCGTTCGGGCGCTAGCTGACCGTACACACTGCTTCTTTTCTGGTTATCACAAATCTCTTATGAAATTTTATGCTTTTATTATTAATTTTTTTTCTCAAATCCTCGGTTTGAGTTCAGTTACGCCCGAAGGTGCACCCGAATCCCTCAAACCAAGGCTCTGATACCAACTTGTAACAATGTAAATTTTCAAAACAAAATTTTCATTTCTTAAAACATGTTTCAACCAAATCAAGCCATAAAAATCCAATGTATCATATCATAATACAAAACATCTCAAATCCCAAGATCATAAAATAAATCCTCCGTCAGTGTGTACAGATCACGTCGGCGCCTTCCCACGGTCCTCGCTAGTACCTGAAACACATAACACAACAACTGTAAGCATAAATGCTTAGTGAGTTCCCCAAAATACTACTTACACGCACATACGCCCTTCCAGGCCATGACCTTCCGGTCCATCTATCTCAGGGGACTTCCGTCCCAAACCGGTAAACCTTCCGGTCCTACCAGCGTCGACCTTCCGGTCCACATCACAATGCCTTTCGGCCCATAACATAACGCCTTCCGGCCCATATCAAGCATAAAATACATAGCACATACAAACAGTTAACTTAATCACATACAATGCATACTTCTCATAACATATCTGACCTTTCGGTCACACATAAATACCCTTCCGGGTACAATATAGTGAGAAGACTCACCTCTGATATCTCGGTAACTCACTGACTCGGTAGGAATGCGATCTAGCCTCCGCGTAAACACATAAGGCAAATATTCCCATAAATATGACTATACTCCGACCTTTCTTAACATCCTCAGAAGGGTAAAAGACCATTTTACCCAACTTCTGACTCAAAGGCATCGCTGCTGACCAAACCCTAAAAGTCAACCAAAGTCAACTGTCAACTTTGACCCGACTCGGCGAGTGCACTTGGGCAACTCGGCGAGTCCACCTGTCTCTACTTAACTCCTTAGTCCCAATTAACACGTCGAGTCCCTCCCTCTACTCGACGAGTCCCCAGGCATGAATCGCGGGGCTACCTTAACTCAACTCGCTGAGTCCCAAGAACAACTCGGCGAGTACATGCCATGCACAGATTCTTTTGACCTCCTGAGGTCAGATCTGTTCCTCCATTCCATAGATCTGACCTTTTCAATCAATATAATCACGTAAAGCTCGAAACTTGATGCTTATATACATACATAATGGCATCAAATGGTGATTTAGTCCCAAAAATGGCAACCTAAGTCCAATCACCCCTCAAGGACCCATAAAGCATACATGATTGAAGTCTCTGAACCTCTTTGAGTCCAGATCCAAAGCATAGACTCGATAAGGGACCAATTGCTCCACATAAACATCCTCACAAGAGGTTAGAAAGCCCTAATCTCTAGGTTTAATACCAAAACCGAAGAAAGGTCGAATAAATACCTCAAGTTGGAATCTTTGGACTCTGAAACCACTTGAACCACACCTCCTTTAGCCTACTCTTGCTCTTGATCACCTCCTTTTTGCCAAGCCAAGGAAAGAAAGATCAATAAAGGCTTCTCCTTCCTTCCAAACGATATAGATCACTAAGGGTGATCTCAAGGGACTGGTAGCCGCAATGGGAGGCTAAGAGTACCCTTAAATAGGCTCCAACCCTAGAGGATTTAGGGTTTCATTAAACAACGTGGATTCACCGAGTCCACTCATGGACTCGCCGAGTCCAATGCAAATCCGAATGAACAATCACGACCCTAATCGACGAGTCTACGCATCAACTCGCTGAGTTCCTTCTCATAATTTTACAAAATAAATATTAAATAATATACCTGGGATTCCGGGTGTTACAGTTTTCCTGTATTTTTCTTGATTTTCCAATTTTAAACACAAGCCACAAAGAGTGTCAAAATCAGAATATGGATACAGATCAACAATCTTAGCAATATTCAAGTTCAACCTACGTAGAAACCAAGACATTTTCTGCTCTTTGACTTCATCAATATCACCCATAAGTGACAATTTTTCAAATCATCTATATATTCAGCCACATTCGTTTTACCTTGTTTCAACTCGACTATTTTTCTATAGGTTGTCATGCGGTGATTAATTTGTACATATATTTTTCTTAACTTTCTTCTTAATGATTCCCACGATGCAATTTTATCTTTACCCTCTCGTGTTCTCTTGGCTTTAAGCCTTTCGAACCACAAAGAGGCACCACCACAAAGTTTCAAGATGGCAAACTTACATGCATTTTCTTCATCTACATCTTTGAACTCGAACACATGTTCAATTTTTCTTTCCCACTCCAAGTATTTTTCCGGGTCCGTACCACTCGCGAATTTCGGCAACTTGTTGAATTTGAATTCTTCACTTGACCTAAGTTCACACCTTGCTTGTCTTAGAGGTTGGCCATATTGGATGTTCCTTAGTGCTTCTTGAAGATTGTAGAGAAAATTGGGATCATTAAAATCAATAGTGACTGCATGATTGTTTCATCTCTAATACCGCTATGATGCGTGTATGGGGGCTATTTTTGGATGGAAGAGAGAGAAAGAGAGGTAGAACATGAGATTGTGAGGGTAAAGAAGAAGATAGGGTTATTTCTTACCTCAAGACCTATTGAAGCAAGAACTAGGTTGAATGTCAATACCTATTGACACACAACACAACACACGATAAGAGACTTATCTTATGTGAGAAATAGAGCAAATTGCAACAAGTTCAACTGATATTTTATTCATAGAAATCAACCCTATATATAGTTGATAGGATCCATGAGTTACAAAAGAGAAAATGCTCATCATTAAGATCCAAGAGTTACAAAAGTGAAAATGCTCACCATTAAGAGCTTTTATTTAACTAGTTCATTAACTACTAGCCAATAACTAATAGAAACTCTCAAAAACTCTTCAATTTTCATCCATGCTACACATAAGACTAGGAAATGGTTCAAATTTCTTCCATGATCACCAACAAGTCCAAAAAAAAACCATGGTCACAACTTCCATGTAGCCAAAACAAATCGCCCCACCCCATTTCAAGACCAAATCCATGAAATCAAGCACACTCCAAAGCCCAAATTAGTAAAGCCCACCTCCTTGGCAAGTAATCCATTTTTAATTGGGCTATCTAGGTCCAAACATATATAAAAAAAGTTTTGGACTAGCACCACTAGTAAAAAACTTATTATGAGTTTGCCCTTTTTATGTTATTGTTTTTATTGTTTTATTAATTTGTTATTTAAATAAATATAAAAATAAAAAGAAAATGTAAACACCCCTCCCCAGTTGTTTGCCATTTTTATTTTTGTAAACACCCACTTAACAATACATCACCGGTCAAAACACAATCACCACGAACGGAAGCCGCTGCTGGTAGCATAACCACCAAAGTTGGTATAAGGGGAATGAAAAGACACCATTAGAGGCGAAGAAAGACTGATACGTAGATTAGAGATCGGAGCTAGAAACTCAAGCCACAGACGAAGATGAAGTGCCATAGACGAAGATGAAGAGACACAATTAGTGATGAGGAGACACCGTCCGATCTTGCTTCAACCATTCACAAACGTAGATTAGAGCTGGACATTTGAGCCACAAACGTCGATGGAGGAGGGTTTTCGACAAAGAACAAGGACAAAGGTGACATAGGGTTTTTGCCGAAGAAGAAGGACGGCGGCGTTGCTCCGATATGCAACTAAGAAAGAGGTGACAACTCCATTCATGTTCTTTTCCTCCGAATGATATAATGGCGGTAAGATTAAGGTTTCTTATACCTAAGATATTGCGAAGCCTGAAGTGTAATTGAGGTTCTATTCGTCGATGTGCATGTAGATTGGAGATGCTAAGAGCTGAAGATGAAAACCCTCCAGAAAATCGATGGTGGTGGTGGCTTAACGATGGTTTCCAAAGGGTTTGCACGGGTCTGAAAACAAAATCGTTGATCTTGTATCCCGATGTTTTTCCAGCGAAAACCATAAATCTGAAAACAAATATGGAAAATCTTGAATCTTAAAAGTTTTTCCGGTGAAATCAAATAAACCATGTACGTGGGAGAAGGAGAGAGATGAAGTAGAGGAAGAATGATGGTTGTAGCGGTGGCTTACGACTAGTGGCGGTGGTTTCCGATAGGCGGCTGTTGTTTCCGCCAGATCGCAGTTGTTTCCGATGACACATGGAGTGAGAGAGAGAGATGAGTGTTATGTATGTTAAAGAGATAGTGATTGAGTTTGATAGTATGGGTGATTTTTTTTAAAATATTTTTTTTAATTTGAAAATTAGAAAAATAATTAAGAAAAAAGAGAAAATTAGGAGCAAATTCGTTATTATAAAAAGTTTCAAAATTTTAAACCAAACTCGAAACAAAATCAAAATTTTGAATAACCAGTGTGCTAATCCAAACTTTTTTATATGGATAGTTTTAACCATACACACTATTTTTGTAATCTTGTTTAAAATATACAGACACTTGGCCTTAAAAGAAAAAGGAATTTATTATTATTATTATTATTATTAGTTTTTCATACCAAAATTTTGGTTTCTCAAAAAATAACCAAAAAGGAGATAGAAAAAATTGTAGTTTCGAGGGAGGGACTCGAAGATTGAAATTCGGGAGTAGACAGGGGAAGCTTTGGTGTCGCAAGATAACCCACACACAAGTGGCTTTGGTTCGCTGAAAGAGACTCCGAAAACCACAGTTGGCACCTTCAACTTCAGCTTCGGCTTCTTCTCGGCCATGGCAATGTCCATGGCTGTGGTTCGCCCTTCACCATTTCTCGGCGACATCGATTTTGGCCTTGTAAGCCTTATCCCTTCCCAATTTATTATGGAATTAACGATTTATATCTCTATTCAGATCATACAGATTCTCGAGTTTGTAATTGTAAGCTTCATGTTTATAGTTACTTCAGTTGCCATGCCATCGAATTGAGTGACCAGTGATATGCTATCTGAATTGAACTAGTTTTCAACTTGGGGATTGATGTGTGTTCATCAGTAACAAAAGATCGACGACTGAATTCACTTTCAACAAATACATCTCGATTTTTTCTCTAGACCTAAACTTAATTCTTTTCTTTTGTTACCTTCGTTTGAACTGTAATTACTATATTAAACTCTGCTACCAACCTCCATTGTCTCCTCTCCTCGCTTTTAATTTTTGTCCTCCAACACTGAAATGTTCAGATTATCATGTCGGACTCTCAACTCTCAAGTCCTTACTGATTAATAGAAGTTAGCAATACGAACCTTCGATGTAGAAAATGCTTTTGGTATTTCATTTCACTGAAACTTATTTTTCCAGGGAGGCTTATCATGTAGAAAACACTTTCTAATTCCCAATCACACATCAAGAATAAAAGCACTCTTTTGGCAACCTAAGAAGCCTGTGGAACCTCCTGAAATGTATCTCTCCTTAAACAACTTCACATTGACCAAAATCCATACCAAGGTGTGTAATCAAATCATGTATTCATGTCTACAACAAATTGACATGAGACACCTCTGTTTTCTATTTCTATTTTCTATAACTACCCTTGTAATGTATGCTGCTATATTGTTTATAATTTAGGAAGAATCATCAGAAACTGAGAAAGCTAAAAAGATATCAGTTTCTGTAGTCTCTTCAATTTTAGAAGTTCCTTCTAGTGATTGGGATGCATGCAGTCTTGATGCTACTGGTGTACAACAATTTAATCCTTTTCTTTCTCATGGATTTCTTTCAAGCCTAGAGGAATCAGGCTCTGCAATTAAGGTTAGAAATTTTACATCAAGCAAAGTTTTGTACTATTTGCATGAATTTATATCTTTATTCCCTCTTTACCTTCATTAGCATGTTATAAATCATAACATACACATTCTTTTTTGTGATTACATAAATTGTCTTCATTCCATTTATTTTTAATTCTAAATTAGGAAACAGGATGGCTGCCACGTCACATAGTTGCATACGATGAAGATAAAAATATCATGGGCGTGATCCCATTGTATCTAAAAAGGTTATTCATTCAATAGTCAATAGTCAATACCCTTTGAGATTTATAAAGACATACACTTATCTCATTCTGATATCTATTTTTTTTTTTTTTATTTTTAAATTGCAGTCATTCATATGGTGAATATGTTTTTTGACCACTCATGGGCTGATGCTTATTATCGTTATGGTTCAAGGTATTATCCAAAATTGCAGTGTTGTGTGCCTTTTACTCCAGTACCTGGTCCAAGGATCTTATTGAGAAACACTTCATACAAAGATCAAGTGTTTGACATTTTAGTATCTGCTATGAAGGATTTGGCAATTAAGGTGTTTATTATCTTTCATTCTAAATTCTAAATTCTAAATTCTATCAATTTTTATATTATTGCCTGGTTAAATTTAAAGTTTGGTATTTTGCATTTTGGTAGTTTGAAGTTTCATCATTACACATAACCTTTTCCTCTGAACAAGAATGGAATGCATTGAAGGGTAAAGGATTCCTGCAAAGGACTGGAATGCAATATCACTGGAAAAACCGCAACTACAAAAAGTCAGCAGAATTTTGACTTTTGAATCTTGACTTTATTACCCATTTTAAGCAATATATTAACTTTTTTTCTTTTCACATCAATAGTTTTGATGATTTCTTGATGGACATGAAGCAAAGCAAAAGAAAAAATATTCGACAAGAACGCAAGAAGGTACATTTGCTTAATGTGTACGTCACATTCGAGGGCGTTTTCGTAATTTCATCTTTTTGCAGATACCTGCGCAAAATCTGACAATGAAACGTCTGCGGGGTTACGAAATTAAGGTGTACTTATGGATTATTCCATTTAGTCTCTTTTTTTATATATACATAAATTATGTTTAGTTTTTGTATTTAAAGTTTTTTTTTAAAAGAAAATTTAATCTTACTTGGTTTATTTTAAACTAACAGGCTAAGCATTGGGATACATTTTATACATTCTACAGGAACACCACAGACAACAAGTTGAGTGCATATGACACTTTCTTCATGCATTGGTTTTTTTGTAATTATATATTCCACTCTAAATTTTCTTTCCCAAAGAGAATCATATCTCACAATTGAGCATGAAGATAATTTTTGTAGCTCTTTGTATTTGGATGAAATTGCTATAATTTTTTTAAAGTAGAAACAAATGGAAGTAATTAGGTTGCTAATTTTTTTTTTTTACTTATAATATATTAAATGGTGTTGATGTGCATTGATTGCATAGGTGGGGTACTCCTTATCTAACAAGAGAATTTTTCCATATGATGGGATCAAAAATGGAGGATCATGTAATGCTAATTGTGGCTGAGGAAGGGGAGGAGGTGGTGGCCGGAGCTCTTAATCTTATTGGCGGAGATACAATTTATGGGCGGCTGTGGGGGTGTCTGCCACGTGTCTATTATCCAAGTTTGCATTTTGAAGCATGCTACTATCAGGTTGTTACCCTTTTATCATATGAAAAAAAAAATACGTAAATTTTAGTAAGCATTTCGTTTTGTTTGACTAATGGTTAAATGTCTAAAATACCCTTCAAATTGAGAGAATCGGTTCAAAAACATCTAATTTTTTTAATTATTGATATTAGGCAATTGAGGCTGCGATTGAGCTAAATTTGGAGAAAGTAGAGGCAGGAGCTCAAGGGGAGCATAAAATCCAACGTGGCTATCTACCTGTCACCACGTACAGCTGTCATTATTTACTAGATGAAGGTTTTAGACAAGTCATTGGCAACTTTTTGTCTCGAGAAACAGATCAGGTAACATTTTTATTTATTTTTATTTTTATTCTTCATCTCTGACTATTTTTTTTTTTCTATATTGATTAAATCATTATACTTTTTTATTTTTTCGTTTAAGAAAACCATTTTTCCTAGTTACCCAAGAGGACAAAATATAATAAAGTACAATGAACTTACACCTTTTTATTAGTTTATTTATTTATTTTTTTTATTGATTTAGTCACTGAATTATTTTAATAATCATAAAAGATAATAGTTGAGTGGCTAAATCAATAAAGTGGTGGTTTTTTGTAGTATTTTCATTTTCATCTTTTTTAAAACTGTCGTAACAGCAAAAAGGATTAACTTATAGGGTAAAAAAGAATAGAGTAAATTACACTTTTGGTCCCTGAGTATAGTTAATTAAGGCAACTTTGGTCCTAATAAGTTTTCCTTTGAAAATTTGGTTCTTATTTGAGGTTTTTGTAAGGTTCATTGTTTAAGTTCCAAGTAAAATGATTACTTCTGGTCCTGAGTATAGTTGATTTTTTCAATTCTTGTCCCAAAAGTATAGTTATATTACTGAACAAAAACGTTTCAAAAACCTCAAATAAGGACCAAAATTGCAAAAATTGATTATACTCAAGGACCAAAATGTAGTTTACTGAAAATAACATAATTTTTTTTTTTATTTTTTATTTTTTATTTTTAACAGGTGAAGCTTGTTACAGAACTGATCAAGGATTCTGGTCCTTTCAAAGATGGGATAATTTAAGGCAAAAAACATGAAATGAAATGATTTGGAATTTATATAATGTTAGGTAGAATGTTGGGTGGAATTTGTTGAGCAAGAAATAGGAAAAATATAAAAAAAGTTAAAAGGGCAAAAAGGTAAATTGACTTCATTCCTGGTAAAACAATTGTATATATAGTGCTATTGTAGATATAATTTAACTTGTATAGTAATGGGGTAAACGATGGACTTCCCTTGAGGCCGGACCCATGATTATATTTAATTGCTTTTTTCATTCTCATTATTATATATATTCTCATAAAATATTCATTATTTAAATAAATAAAAGACTAATAACCTTTATTTAACAAAAACACATGATCACAAACCCTTTTAAATGCATAAACTTTTTCAAATGTTTTTTTAATTGACTAATTTGCTCTCAAACACATATGGCTATTAAAATTAAAAATTATATATATTATGTGCCTCCTATCTTTTTAGGAAAAACTGTAAAAAAAATCATTATATATTAATCTCAAAATCAATTTAGTCCTTATATATATTTTTTATTCAATTAAGTCTCTAAAACTGGTAATCGTATTCAAAATTTACACTTTTTGTCCAGTTTTCAAGTTTTATTATAAATTTTGTCCAAAATTTACCATTTGACCCAAATTTTAAAATTTTGTTATGAATTCATCATAATTTTTTTTAATAAATATTTATTTTTCAAAAAATTATGAATATATTTTTTCTTTATAAAATCATATTTATACAAAAAAACATTTTCACATAAAAAATATTATATTTTCGATATAAAACTTAAAAACAAAACTTTTCTGTATACAAAATACTTATTTATAAAAATAGGTATTTATTAAGTATTTAAATATATACAAATCCATTTTTTTATAAAAAAAATATATAGAAACATATATTTTACAAGAAAAAATATATACAAACATCTATTTTATTGTAATACATTTTGTAAAAACATATTTATATGCACCCAAATAAGTGTTTGTATACATTCCTTTTATAAAAACATATTTCTATATTTTTTTATAAACACCTATTTTATAATAAATGCATTTGTATTCAAACATGTTTATATATAAAATATATATACACACACATATACACACATATTTTATAAAAAATATATTAAAACACGTTTTTATTAACAAATATATACAAACATGTTTTTTATAAAAAAAATATATACATACATGTTTTCGATAAAAATCATCATTTGAGATGTAAATTATCGACAATTAAATTATCTTTTTAAATGTATACTCTAAATAATAATTATAATAAGAAGTAATACCACAAAATAATAACTCATATTCAAAATTTAAAAGGAATTTTGATCACTGATAAAAAATGTATGTCTTCAAATTAAAAAAAAATGTGCGTTTTCAAATTAAAAATGTATTCAAACAAAAGGAACCCACACAACATTATAATTTTGTTTTAAACCCAAAATAATATATCAAAATGGCTTAATTTCCAAGTTATAAGTTACCATCTTCAAAATTAAATTAGATTTAACTGTTAGGAGTTTACCTTTTATGTGAAACTATATATATATAGTATAATTATGATTTTTTTTAAAGAAAAAACATATTCGGAAATTTTTTTGAGAAAAAAAGTTGTAAAAAAACTAAAGTTAGGATGAATTCATAACAAAATTTTGAAATCTAGGCCAAAAGGGTAAATTTTTGACCAAATATGTAATAAAATTTAAAATATGGGTCAAAAGGTAATCTAACTTTCAAAAATTACACTTTTAGCCCATATTTTAAATTTTATTACAAATTTAGTAAAAAATTTACACTTTTGACCTAGATTTTAATTTTTATTACAAATTTGGTAAAAAAATTACCCTATTGGTCTGGATTTCAGAATTTTGTAACATTCGAAAAATTCTTGAAATATTTTAAACTTTTAAAATAGACCACAAATCATCATTGTTTACAAATTGTTTTCAAAATAAGTTCAACATCAGAGAAATCCCAAAGTCGTGAAATAAAAACATGAGGAGGTGCACGATCATGCATTCGCCTTCCCACGATCCTCGAAAGTACTTGAAACATAATCCAAAACTGTAAGCCCAAAGCTTAGTGAGTTTCCTCCAAAATACAAGCACACAACAAAATCAGAATAATATAATAAACAACATGCATATAAAGCCTTCAGCCTGACCGGAACGCCCCACTGGCCTTCAGTCTAACTGGTACGCTCTCCGGGCCTTCGGTCTGACTGGTATGCCACCTTCAGTCTTCAGTCTATCCGGGAAGCGCTGGGTTTGTTGGCCTTCAGCACAAAGCAGGACCGCCTCAACCTAACCACACATAAGATAACAACAGATATCATATCAAGTACTAGCTAGCATGCACAGTCAGTCAAACAGATCTAACAGATCACTAAGCATCAGTGTTGCAAAACTTGGCCTACTCGACCGATTACTCGGAATCGGCCCTCCACCGAGGCGAGTAATGTCAACTCGGCCAAAAAACTCGGATTTAGTCAAAATCGGCCAAAAATCGGTCAAACTTGTTCAAAAATCGGACAAACACGGTCAAACTCGGCCAATTCGGTCAAAATCGGTTAAACTTGGTCAAAGGGTCAAAATTGTCATAAAAAGAAAAAAAATCAAGAATTTCAAGATTAATATGTATAATGCACTTAATGATTTATTATTTAACACAAACATGAGATTATTACTATATACATATCTTAAATTTTCAGTAATTATCCACGTAGTGAGATAATTATGTGTATTTCAGTTTTTATGTATTTAGATGTATCTAATTTTGGTTATATATTTCAATCAAATTATGATTTTAACTTATGATTTTGACATGTATAATTTTCCAAAAAATATTTCTACATGAATTACCAAATCCGAGTACTCCCGAGTACTCGCTACTCCCCAGTCGGCCGAGCAGGTACCGAGTAGCGAGTTCTACAACCTTGCTAAGAATATCATGTTGGATTAGTGTCTAAGTCCACAACTATTTTGGTATGTACTTGACCCGATGGTGCATGGTCATTTTGGGTTGTCTTCACCAAAGCAACTTGATAGGATGAATTATGGAGAGAGAGGATTAATTATGATTTATTAATATATAATGAGAATAGTATATTAAAGGAGAAATCATATTGTTTAATTAATATTAGTCAATAATTAATTAAGAATTGATTTTGTGGCTAAAAGATATTAATTAAACTTAAGGGACTAGAACTGTCAATTGTGTGATAGTTTAATATTGGGCTAATGGACTCCATAGAGGATGGAGTGGGCGAATTCTATGGGGAAATCCATTAAAAATCATCCTAGGCCTCTAAGGAGGGAGTCCATGGGTTGCTTAGGGCCTAAGCAGTCAAATTAGGGTTTCCTTGTTAGATAACCCTAATAGCCTCACTATTTAAGGATCCATAGGACACCAAAACGTAAAAAAGAGTCTTCTTAGGGTTTCTACACATTTTTTAGGGTGGCTCCTCTCTTCTCATTCTTCATCCTCTCGCTCTTGGTGTTTGTGAGCCATTAGAGGAGTGACACTTGTGACTCTAAGCTTTCTAAAGCCATTACAAAGAGGATTTGAGATTGTTATTGCTACATAACAATCAAGGTAAGATCTAAACCCCATTCTTGTGTTAATATTGATTATCACATGCTAGATCTAGGGTTTAAAGTCTTGGATGAATTGCATGTACAATAGAGAAACCTAGATCCAAGCATTAGGGTTTGCATGAGCACATAAGATGTTCTTATGGCCTAAACCCATCATATCATTATTCTATAATCAGAATACCAATCTAACAAATCCCTACACATAGCATCAGACAATAACCAGAGTGATAATCCAACGGTCCGGCCTTGGTGCCTTCGACCCAGTAAGTATAGTGAGGAAAACTCACCTCACAAACAATGCTGACTGATAAGATCCAACTCCCAAATCTCATCTCCCGAATCAAATGCCTACAACCACCATGTAACCAGTTCCACCAAACTCAGAAATACCCAAAATGCCCTCAAAAGTCAAACTTTGTCAACCATGGTCAAAGTTAAAGTCAACAGTCCATGTTGACCCAACTCCTCGAATGCACCTACCAACTCGTTGAGTTCCTTCCGTATTCAGAGAATTGGGAAAATCCTAGCCAACTTGCCGAGTTGGCTAGAAAACTCGTCGAGTTTTCCTAGCTTAACATATTCAATCCTTTTTCATCAAGTCTAACACTTTAAAATGTAGATCTGATACCCATGAGCTGGAATGCCACGTAAAGTTGCTAACTTTACGTCCATGCATGTCAAAAAGAGGCTCCAAAATTCAAAGAAGGCTTAACTAGGGACCTAAAGCATGAAGGAGGCCTAGAACTTGATAAAGCTTGAAACTTTAAGTCCAATGAGGCCACAAAACTTCTAGATCTAAAGTGATAACTTCATGAAATACTTAACCCATGAACAATCCAAAAAATAATCCAGATATGACAATAAACTTCCAAGGAAGAGATCTAAGCAATAAATAAGCAAGTTGTCGACTTTTTACCTCAAAAAAACTACAATACTTGAAGAGTTTCTTAATTTGAAGCCTTCGCTTCAATCTAGACACTTCAAACCTCAAGTTCCTTCAAAAGACCACCAAAAGGACCAACTCTTCAAGCTCACACACTCAACCTTGGGAGAGGATGCATGAAAATTAGGGTCTATGGACAGATGAGGCAATTAAGGAGGCCATACATGGGACTTAAGGCCTTTAAATAGGGTCCAACACCCTAAAAATTAGGGTTTCACAATCAGCCACCAACTCGTCAAGTTTGCCTCTCCAACTCGTCTAGTTGGTCCAAAAAGATGCGCTGTCCAAGGCCTTTTAATACATCGAGTTGAGGCCATTAATTCGATGAGTTCCAATGGAATCTTGACTTTTAAAATAATAAATCTCATACCTGGAAAATTGAATGTTACAATTCTCCCCCATTTGGACTTGGCTTCGTCCTCGAAACCTACTGCGATGAACAAATCCGGATAATGCTCCCACATCTCAGCCTCCGACTCTCAGGTCCACTCATATCCCCTCCTATGCTGCCACTGTACCTTTACTAAAGGTACCCCCTTGGCATGCATAATATTTACCTTCCTTTTTAGAATAGCTACCAGCTTATCGACATAGTTCAAGCGCTCATTAACCTGAATATCATCCAATGATACCACCGCATCCTCATCCAAAATGCACTTCTGCAATTGCGAAACGTGGAAAGTGCTATGAATCTGACTGAGCTCCTCCG